CATCAGATGGAGAGTTAGCAGGCATAAGGTGGAGGGTTAGCAGGCATCAGATGCAGGGTTAGCAGGAATTAGATGGAGAGTTAGCAGGCATCAGATGAAGGGTTAGCAGGCATCAGATGGAGAGTTAGCAGGCATAAGGTGGAGGGTTAGCAGGCATCAGATGGAGAGTTAGCAGCCATCAGATGGAGAGTTAGCAGGCATCAGATGGAGAGTTAGCAGCCATCATTTGGAGGGTTAGCAGGCATCAGATGGAGGGTTAGCAGGCATCAGATGGAGGGTTAGCAGGCATCAGATGAAGGGTTAGCAGGCATCAGATGGAGAGTTAGCAGGCATCGGATGAAGGGTTAGCAGGAACCTCTAAGCCTGAAATCTGAACATCTGACCAAAAAATCTGACCATCTGAGCCTGACACCTGAAGCTCTAAGCCGGAAACATGAACCTCTGATCCTGAAACCTGACATTTCGAGCATGTAATCTGAACCTTTGAGCCTAAAACCTGCACCTCTGACCCAGAAACCTGAAACTCTAGGCCTGAAACCTGCACCTCTGACCCAGAAACCTGAAACTCTGAGCCTGAAACTGGAACCTCTGACCCATAAATCTGAACCTCTTAGCCTTAAACCTGAACCTTTGACCCCCGCAGCAGAGCTGGGCTGGCAGGCAGCTCGACGCAGGGCAGCGCTCCCACTGCATAAAAGCCCCAGAAAAGCTCCAAAAAGTCTGCTGTGCTGCTTCTGCTGCCGCAGCTTCACATTTTCCTGCAGCCCTCAGCAGCCCTGACATGATGGATGGCGGCAGAATCTGCTGCTGGGTGCCCGTTCAGGTCCGGTCCATCAGAGCTGCTGGGCTCAGCTGCCTGCAGAGCTTAACCTGCTCAATGGCCTCCGCCCTCAGCGATCAGAGGCCTTTTTTTTCTGGGGCTGCCAGCCCTCTATCTGAGGCAGCAGCAGCGTGGCCATGTGAGCAGAGGCAGACGGCTCTGGAATTCTAATCCTCTCTTTCTCACAGCCTTTCTCCTCGCCGCTTTCCCACAGTCTCCCCCTGAGCCGCTGCCCGTCTCTGGCCTCTTTCACAGCCTTCGCTGGAGGCTCTGTGCCCTGCTCAGACTCTCCAGTCTGCGCTGAGCTCGGAGTCTCTTCTGCTCCTGCAGCTTTCTAATACCCTCATCTGATCCATCACTTTCCCCCATAGTGTACACATGTCTGCATTCACTTTGGTTTTCCTGCATTGCAGACAGCCTGAACCCAGAAGATTGTGTTTTTTCTCATCCACTTAACGGAGTTTGTTGTTGTGAAGGTCCATGTTTGCAGTTTAGGTGTTCAATACTTAAAAAAAAAGTTGGGATGTAAATCTTTTTCTTCTAGTCTGAGCGCATAATGAGAGTTCCCCGAAGAGAGACTGGAGGGATCTGCAGATTTCTCCCTCTAAAAGCAGATATCATTAGATATTCAGGGACTTTTTCAGTGTCCAAGGACCAGGGAGCAACCGGTCTGCTGCCTGCATCTTGCTGCCTGTATCCTGCCGCCTGCATCTTGCTGCCGGCATCCTGTCGCCTGCATCTTGCTGCCTG